ATTATTCTTGCCTCCTGGTACTCATGGTCTTGTGTAAACCTATCCCCTTGAATAAAGAGCTGTGACTTACTACTAACTAATAAACAAATGGCAAAAGTAATAGGATATCAGTTCCACGATTACATTATAGAACACTGTAATGTATGTCTTGCTAACGTACTGTCTCCCATCCTGGCTTTGATGATGTATACTGCCATGATGTGAGCTGCTTTATGGAGAGGCCCCTACTGTGAGCAACTAAGGGTAGTAATTGGCCAAATCCTAGCAAGAAACTGAGACTCTCAGTGCTAAAACATGCAAGGAACAGAATTCTACCAACAACCATGTGAGCTTGAGGCAGATTCTTCCACAGTCTTGGCCAATAACTTGATGGCATCCATGTAAGATGATGAAGCAGAGAACCCAATTAATCTGTGTACAAATGCCTGACCCACAGAAACTGTGAGATAACAATGTGTATTATTTTAAGCCACTAAGTTTGTGATAATTTGTTATGAAGCAACAGATAACTAATACATAGCTATAACAACTTCAGCATTTTTCATTGATTTCTGTATTTGAATCAGCCTATAGACAAAGCATAAAAGAGAATGGATGTGATTTACAATAGTATTTATTTTTTAAAAGTTTTTATTTTTTAAATTAATTCTTATTGGAGTATAGTTGCTTTACAATGTTGTGTTAGTTTCTACTGTACAGCAAAGTGAATCAGCTATACATACATATATATCCCCCTTCTTTTTGGATATCCGTCCCATTTAGGTTACCACAGAGCATTGAGTAGAGTTCCCTGAGATATACTGTAGGTTCTCATTAGTTATCTATTTTATAAATGGTATCAATACTGTATATATGTCAATCCCAATCTCCCAATTAAGCCCACCTCCTCTCCTTTCCGCCTTGGTATCCATATGTTAGTTCTCTACTTCTGTGTCTCTATTTCTGTTTTGAAAATAAGATCACATATACCATTTTTCTAGATTCTACATATATGTGTTAATATACGATATATGTTTTTCTCTTTATGACTTACTTCACTCTGTATGACAGTCTCTAGGTCCATCCATGTCTCTACAAATGACCCAATTTCGTTCCTTTTTACGACTAACATTCCATTGTATATATGTACCATATCTTCTTTAACCATTCCTCTGTTGATGGGCCTTTAGGTTGCTTCCATGTCCTGGCCACTGTAATTAGTGCTGAAGTGAACAATGGGGTGCATGTGTCTTTCTGAACTATGGTTTTCTCAGGGTATATGCCCAGTAGTGGGATTGCTGGGTCATATGGTAGTTTTATTTACAGTTTTTTAAGGAACCTCCACATTGTTCTCAATAGTGGCTGTACCAATTTACATTTCCACCAACAGTGTAGGAGGGTTCCCTTTTCTCCATACCCTCTCCAGCATTTATTGTTTGTAGATTTTTTGATGATGGCCATTCTGACTGGTGTGAGGTGATACCTCATTGTAGCTTTGATGTGCATTTCTCTAATGATTACTGATGTTGAGCATCTTTTCATGTGTTTGCTGGCAATCTGTGTATCTTCTTTGGAGAAATGTCTATTCAGGTCTTCTGCCCATTTTTGGATTGGGTTGTTTTTTTGTTATTGAGCTCCATGAGCTGCTTATGTATTATGGAGATTAATTCTTTGTCAGTTGCTTCATTTGCAAATATTTCCTCCCATTCTGAGGGTTGTGTTTTCATCTTGCTTATGGTTTCCTTTGCTATGCAAAACCTTTAAGTTTCATTAGGTCCAAATTGTTTATTTTTGTTTTTATGTCCATTTCTCTAGGAGGTAGGTCAAAAAGGATCTTCCTGTGATTTATATCATAGAGTGTTCTGCCTATGTTTTCCTCTAAGAGTTTGATAGTGTCTGGCCTTACATTTAGGTCTTTAATCCATTTTGAGTGTATTTTTGTGTATGGTGTTAGGAAGTGCTCTAATTTCATTCTTTTACATGTAGCTGCCCAGTTTTCCCAGCACCACTTATTGAAGAGGCTGTAGTTTCTCCACTGTACACTCTTGCCTCCTTTATAAAAGATAAGTTGACCATATGTGTGTGGGTTTATCTCTGGGCTTTCTATCCTGTTCCATTGATCTATATTTCAATTTTGTGCCAGTACCATACTATCCAGATTACTGTAGCTTTGTAGTATAATCTGAAGTCCGGGAGTTCCTCCAGCTCCGTTTTTCTTTCTCACGATTACTTTAGCTATTCAGGGTATTTTGTGTTTCCATACAAATTGTGAATTTTTTTGTTCTAGTTCTGTGAAAAATGCCATTGGTAATTTGATAGGGATTGCATTGAATCTATAGATTGTTTTGGGTAGTAAAGTCATTTTCACAATGTTGATTCTTCCAATCTAAGAACATGGTATATCTCTCTATCTCTTTGTATCATCTTTAATTTCTTTCACCAGTGTCTTATAGTTTTCTGCATACAGGTCTTTTGTCTCCTTAGGTAGGTTTATTCCTAGGTATTTTATTTCTTTGTTGCAATGGTCAATGGGAATGTTTCCTTAATTTCTCTTTCAGATGCTTAATCATTAGCGTATAGGAATGTAAGAGATTTCTGTGCATTAATTTTTTATCCGGCTACTCTACCAAATTCATTGATTACCTCTAGTAGTTTTCTGGTAGCATCTTTAGGATTTCCTATGTATAGCATCATGTCATCTGCAAACAGTGACAGTTTTACTTCTTTTCTGATTTGGATTCCTTTTATTTCTTTTGCTTCTCTGATTGCAGTGGCTAAAAATTCCAAAACTATGTTGAATAATAGTGGTGATAGTGGGCAACCTTGTCTTGTTCCTGATCGTAGAAGAAATGGTTTCAGGTTTTCACCATTGAGAATGATGTTGGCTGGGGGTTTGTCATATATGGCCTTTATCATGTTGAGGTAAGTTCCCACTATGCCTACTTTCTGGAGAGTTTTTATCATAAATGGCTGTTGAATTTTGTCAAAAGCTTTTTCTGCATCTATTGAGATGATCATATGGTTTTTATCCTTCAATTTGTTAATATGGTGTATCACATTGATTGATTTGAATATATTGAAGAATCCTTGCATTCCTGGGATAAACCCCACTTGATCACAGTGTATGACCCTTTTAATGTGCTGTTGGATTCTGTTTGCTAGTATTTGGCTGAGGATTTTTGCATCTATGTTCATCAGTGATACTGGCCTGTGGTTTTCTTTTTTTGTGACATCTTTGTCTGTTTTTGGTATCAGGGTGATGGTTGCCTCGTAGAATGAGTTTGGGAGGGTTCCTCCCTTTGCTATAGTTTGGAAGAGTTTGAGAAGGATAGGTGTTAGCTCTTCTCTAAATGTTTGATAGAATTTTACTGTGAAGCCATCTGGTCCTGGCTTATGTTTGTTGGAAGATTTTTAATCACAGTTTCAATTTCACTGCTTGTGATTGGTCTGTTTATACTTTGAAAGAAGGTATTCTTAACAGCAAGATGGAATGTGTAGCAGGACACAAAACTCACTGCAGAAACACAGGACAAAGAACCTATGAAAGTGGGCTTCCCTGGTGGTGCAGTGGTTGAGAGTCCGCCTGCCGATGTAGGGGACGCAGGTTCGTGCCCCGGTCCGGGAAGATCTCACATGCCGCGGAGCGGCTGGGCCTGTGAGCCATGGCCGCTGAGCCTGTGCATCCAGAGCCTGTGCTCCACAACGGGAGAGGCCACAACACTGAGAGGCCCACGTACCGAAAAAAAAAAAAAAAAAAAAAAAAATCTATGGTAAGTTTTGAAGTTATGCTTACCTTCTAAGCCTATGCTTGTTCCTCTTCTCACTCCCTGAGTAAGTTTCTCTCGCAACTATAAACTCAGTGAACATCTTTATCCAGATAACTTACACATTTATATTTCTATAAAAAACTGCTCCTCTAAACTCTAGATTCATATATCTAATGCCTATTGAGACCTCTTGAGTCTCTTTAAGACATCTCAAACTCAATATGTCCCAAACCGAACTTATCATCTCTTCATCCCTCTTCTAGTGTTCCTTACCTCAGTGACTGGCTTCGTCATCCACCCTGTTACAGAAGCCTGGAGACCAGGAGTCAGTCTGACAGTCCTGACAGGTCCCTCTTCCTTAGATTTCTCATTCAACCTACCACCAAGTTACATGAAATATCACCTCCTTAACATATTCTCTCCATCTCCACCATCACCAGTCATTTAATCTACCATAATAAATTCCTTGCTCAATTACAATCACCTTTAAACTAGTATACCTTTTAGTACTCTAGATACTCTTTAATTAACTCTTGAAGCTTTTACCAGAGTGATTTTTTAAGTTTTTTAAAGCACATTTAATCATGTCACATCTCTGAAGAAGCAGAGCTTTCCATTGCTCTTAGGATAAAGACAAAACTTGTCCTCACAGCTTACCAGGCCCTGCATGGTGTTGATCTGTCTACTTCTCTAGTCTTATCTCATATCACACTCTTCCTCTATCCTTGTTCTCCAGGCATGTGGGACTTTCTGTACCTTTTCTTTATCTTGCTCTCTGTCACCACAGGATATTCTTTTCCTTCAGTGTGGCAAGAATCTATCTTCTTTCTTTATCTGGTTGACTATTTTCCTTTTTCAGTTTCTTCAGCACAATAACCTTTTCTTCATGGAAGTGTTCCTTGATCTTTCTAAAAAGGCCAAATTCCTCTTTTATAGAAATGTGTAATACCATATACCCCTCCTTTGTTTCACTTGTCCTATTTGAATTTTTACATTTATTTGTATTATTATTTTACATGTTTGTCATCCCCTCTAGACTGTAAAATCTATAACAGAGGAACACTCTCTGTTTTTACTCGCCATTTGATGTAGTCTGAATGTGTATATATGTTGAAAATTTATATGTTGAAATTCTGTTGCCCAATGTGATAGTGTTAGGAACTGAAGCCTTTGGGAGGTGATTAGGTCATGAGGGTAGAATCTTCATGAATGAAATGAATGCCCTTTTACAAAGGCTCCAGAGAGCTAGCTCACCCTTTTACAGAGAGGGCACGGAGAGAAGTCAGCAGTCTACAGCTCAGAAGAGGGTCTTCACCAGACACTGAATCCTCCAGCACCATAATCTTGGACTTTCCAGCTTTCAAGACTGTGAGAAATAAATTTCTGTTGTTTATAAGCTACCAAGTCTATGGCATTTTGTCATAAGCAGCTTAAATAGACCACTAAGACACCATTACCTCCCCAGTGTCTTTTGACAGTAAGTTGCACAAAGTATGTGCTAAATAACAATTTAAATGTTGTTGAAAGAATCAACCTTTGACAATGCTATGCTGCTTAAACAGTTTGTTCCCTGAGTATTTCAAGATGACAGATTAAATTAATGTGTACAACTGACTATAGATTCAGGTGATATGGATGAATTATTCACAAGGATTGTCCATGTCCAAGAGATACTTAAAAAAAAAATGGGGGCTTCCCTGGTGGCGCAGTGGTTGAGAGTCCGCCTGCCGATGCAGGGGACACAGGTTCGTGCCCCGGTCCGGGGGGATCCCACATGCCGCGGAGCGGCTGGGCCCGTAAGCCATGGCCGCTGAGCCTGTGCGTCCGGAGCCTGTGCTCCGCAACGGGAGAGGCCACAACAGTGAGAGGCTCACGTACCGCAAATAAAAAAAAAAAAAAAAAAAAAGGCCATAGAGAAGGCAGGAAAATGAGAATCTCATCTCTTAGGATTATACATGTCCTACTTTCTTTCCTCTTTTAACAAATTCTTAGTCTATTCTTAAGATCAGTTTCCAAGTCAGCTACTCAAAAGAACATGTGCCTTTCTTGGCTGCTTCCTCAAAACATCATGTTTCAGTTGGGAATCAGAGGGAAATTAAAGTCATCTGAAACTTCACCTCCACTGGTTTTGATTTGATGGCTCCAAATTGTTCTATAAATAGTTGTGTAAAATCATAACATGCAAACAATACATAAATAAAAATAAAAAATAAATCTTTGGAAACATAGTGCTTGCTTATCCAGACTAAGTTGGTTAAAGAAAAAAATTTACAAGAATTTGACTCAGCTCTACAAAGTTCTTGTAAAAGCATGTGTGGCTTATTTTTGTCCAAGAACATGAAAATATCTACTTTGATTTAAAATAAAGTTTATGACCAGTCTGCCTTTTTTTTTTACATTTGCTGTCAAATGCTACAAATGTTATCAATTCATGAGCTCTGACTTGAGTGAATGGTAAAGGAGGCCATGTCAAGTGGATTGGCCTAAGTTTAATAATCTAATGCAAAGATGTTCATATTAGCTTAGAATATCCAGCCAGTGATTTAAGAAAATGTATAAATTGTAGCTGAAGTGGAAAAAATTAATAGCACTTTAATTTGCCTTAATTTACTAAAACAAAACGGTCTTAATTTACTAAAAACTAAAACAAAAACAAACCTTCTCCTTTTGAGAAGACAGAGTATTGTAGTTCACACTCCTTTGGACACTGGCGAGGCAGATCCCCCGGATTGGTGAGAACAACTTAATCTCTAACTTGTGAACTGGAAAAGTGAGAAAAAGAGTACATGTATCATAGCATGCATGAGCAGATTAAATAAAATCACTTTGAGAAAATATCTGGCATGCATTGGGAATTCAATAAAAATTCGTTTCTTTCTTTTTTAGTATTAGTCTCAGAGATGACTGTTAGAATGAGGATTAGATAACAGCTTCTTTCATGAATGATTATGAGTCAGAATTAAAAGCAACACTTAATAGAAATCAACCAAGTGACATTTCCCAAATAAATATATACAAAGTATTGTTATCACTGTATCAATTAATTCCTGTTACACAAAGAAAAATGCTACTTTTTGTTAAAGCATAATAAAGAACTAAATTAGAGAAATCATCTCTCAGTCTGGATTCATTTTTCTTGAAGCAAAACCAGTGGTTCTCCTGGAGATTAAGAAAAAAAATTTTATCAGTAGGCATAAAGGAAGGAAGGAAGGAAGGAAAGAGATATGAGGTGTTATGCGATTTTATTCCTTGCTCATCCACTCGTTTTCTCAGTGACTTTATTTCCTAATATTGACAGTGATATCCTGTATTTCATAACATTTGTGAGGTGAAAAAGGAAACATAAATATTTCTACAGTATTAAAGATGTTCTGAAAATAAAAAAGACCATCATTACATTCTCCTGCTTATTATATTTCAAAAGCAATCATTGTTATATGAAGTCTTCTGTTACCCTTTGCTTTAAGTCCTCAAGTTGAATATGCATGTGCATCATTCTGTACATGTGAAAGTGAGTTCTAAACTTCTCTCTCAATATAAGTCAATATCAGTGCTATTACTTTTTACTATGTGAATTTCAAAGTTAAGAATGAAACGTAACATTCCGTTTAGCATCCCTCTCTGATTCTGTGTTTTACCTGTAAAAAAAAAAAAAAACAAAGGTTGTCAAAAAGATAAAGATAAGAAAAAGAAAGAGGAGAAAATTTTTTAAAAATACGTTAAACCAGGGATTAAGATACATGGTTAGAATGTGATTTGGCAATAATGAGAATGAAAAGAATTGTAAAGATAGAAAGAGACAAAATCTCAAGAGGCATGCAAACAGAAATCAAAACACATGCACAAAAAAACGTAGCACAGACTTCATATGTATACTGAGAAAAGAACTTTTATTAAAAAACGAAACAAAAGTTTAGGAACATACCTTTGTATCTAACTAGGGACAATTTGATCTTGTGAACTTTTAGAACAAAATTCGTATTTTTAAATTGCAATTCTAAAGATAGAAGCACACCTTCTGTTGTACATATTTGTTCTGATGTCAAAAGAATTTACTCAGGGGCTTCCTTGGTGGCGCAGTGGTTGAGAGTCCGCCTGCCGATGCAGGGGACACGGGTTCGTGCCCCGGTCCGGGAAGATCCCACATGCCACGGAGCGGCTGGGCCTGTGAGCCATGGCCACTGAGCCTGTGCGTCTGTAGCCTGTGCTCCGCAACGGGAGAGGCCACGACAGTGAGAGGCCCGCGTACCACAAAAAAAAAAAAAGTTTACTCAGGGTCAAATCCACCTTGTAAGTCCCCACATTTCCAACTCAAGTCTACAAGTAAGTGCAGTCTTACATTTAAGCATCAGTATTAAATATGGACTTTTGTTGAATTTTAGCATAGGGATGTATTTATTTTAAATAAAATGAAATCAGATATACTCATGTGTTTCTTCATCCATATTAGGGAACTTATGTGGCTTATTTTCTGACTCTCTATTATCCTTATTAGTTGTATAACACTATGGTTAAATTAATTAAATGCTCTTGGATTTCAAGGAACAGCTGCTTCCTAAGGTGATGAGCTGGTTTATCAATTACTCAGGGACACTTCTTATCTCAGCACTTAAGTCATCCGGTTCCAGAGAAAAGTGGAGTCTTATTCTGGACACGATAACAGCTGTAGTATTCCAACAGTCTCTGTAGAATCTTGCGATTCTGGACACTTAACTTTTTTCTGTCTCTGCTTCTCTCTACGTTTGTATCTATTTTCCATCTTGTGGCTTCTGTTTAATCATGGCTTTTATTGCCTTGTGGCATCTGCATACCCTCTCCGTCTTGAGTATTTTTCAGTTTCTACGATACCTGTAAGCTTCCGTGTGTGTGTGTGTGTGCATGTATGTGTGCAAGTATGTGTGTAATTTACAAAACTGTAAGAGAAGAAATGGTTTTACCAATTAATCATTATCTTCATAGGACTTGCACTGGCACCTAAAAATAGCTGCCTGTAGTCAGGCACTGTTCTCAACTCCATTTAGTTGAGACCATGGTGACTGTATTACATGGTCTAAGACACAGAGACCTTTGTGTCAAGAATGGTCTGCAGTTATTTTAATGAATGAATCTGAAGGTATGGTTAGCGCCTATGCTATGGCCTGTTTAATATGGTAGCACTTTTTATACTTCATGAGTTCTAAACATTTTACAAGTTCATGTGACCATGGTATGTGAACTACATAATTTATGAAAAATCCTGCTTTGTCTCCTACATGTCCTTGAAGTTAAAAGCACTTAGGAAAACACTAGGTTGAGTGCATTGTACAGCACTACCCTAAGAGGTAAGCTATTACATATCTACTGATCCCATTTATATGAGTTAATGCAGCTTTCACTGGAAACTGAGTTCCTGATTGAGTTCATTGCACTTGACATCACACTACACTGCCTTTGACCATTTTATTTAAATATGGAATTAATAAGTTAAGACAATTTGTGGTTGGTGGAAGAGATAATAATTATATTGTGGTAGTTCATTTATATATTGAGGGAAAATGGTAAACAAGTGAACACTTAAACAAAACACAATTATTTTATGAAGGTTTAGTGAGCCCATACTTGTAACTCTATACTTACCTATGGTTACAAATCTGCAAAAATGATTTAATGGTTTCTAAAAAAGTCCAAGAACAAAGAAAACAAGCTTCTACAGGAGAAATACTGAATAATACATTTTTTTTTTTGGCCTGGAAAAGTAAAGGTTAAGTTCATAAGAATAAGGCAGGGCAAACATAATGAATATGGACTTATTTGACAAATTACAGCTGTAGAACTTGCTCGAGTGATGTTACTCAAATAAGAGATGCAGGATAAAAATCTATGTAAGTTCAAGAAAGGTTTTAGTAATTTCCTGGAAAGTAAAATGTTCAGAGACGTTGTTAGATGATCTAAATGTTAGATGATGTTTATACATATGAAATGTATTACTAATTTTGATTGAAGAATTTTTTCCCTAAGTATAAAAATAGCACATTATCATTGTAAGCAATGCAGAAAATATGGGAAATGAATAGAGAAGAAAGAAAAATTAAAACAGCCGACTTTCAGGGGCAATCACTTCCAGACGTGTGTGTATGTGTGTGCACGTGTGTGTGTGTATGTGTGTGTATATATATACACACACACGTGCGCACACACACACACAAAATGTGCGTGTGTATTCCAATGACCAATATTTAGGCAAGGGGAAAAATCACCTTCTTTGCCTCACTACTGTGCTCAGTCTGTTGTGCAATCATCTAATCACTCTTTAGTGTCAATTTCCTCCCAGGTCATTTTAGCAGATGCTGTTGGTACCCTGTCCATATTTCCTCATTTCTCTGGAGCTTCCCTATCCACTGTGGCACAGTGAGTAATCCCATTCCTTAATGCTCTCCTTATTGCTCCTCTTCCCTTCTCTGCTCACTCTGTACCTCCTCACTGTACTTCCCTCTCAAATAAACCACTTGAATTCAAAATCATGTCTTGGAGTCTGTTTTTTGCAGAAACCAAATTATTATGGTCATAAACAACAGCAGACAGACAGTGGGTTTTCAAAATAGGCCTTCAGAGAGGATTGGAAGTTTTATACCACCAAATTTAATGCAAAAAGAAAACTATATGTAGCTTTATTATTGTTTCATCACAGCTGTGTTTTTTACCAGGACTTTTTTTCACTGTTCATCCCTCCTCTGGTTCTGTTGTAGTGAGGCAGCCCGGTGTTCAGGAAAGAGCCTGAGAGGAGACACAGGCAGAAATATACTCATGCCTTGGCTCCACCACTAGTCAGTAATCTAACCTCTCTGAGCCACAATTTCTTCATCTATAAAATAGGGGTAAAATACCTGCTTTTCCAACCTCACAGGCTTTTTACAAGCCTTAAATGAGTTGTGGCAGAGTGTTTTCTGTGCAATAGTTTAGGAGATAACAGGAACTGGTAACAAATTTAGCTTTGATCTCCACCTCACACTTCCTTTGCTGTTGTGCGTTTATGTACTTGGTAACTTTGCCTAACTTTCTTCAGAGTTCCATGTGTTGACTTCAGGACTTGAACTTCATGTTATCTATTCAGCTATGGATGCACAAAGACTGACTGTTAACAGTCATTTATGGTGCTGAGGGAAAAAATACAGTATTTTCCTCATGGAGGTCTTTGCTGCAGCAAGAGCCCAGCTACAGTTCTCCCACAAAGAAACCTACCTAACACCAGATGTCTTCTCATAATTCCTGAGCAGGAAGTTCAAAGCATATGGTTCTCCCACTTAAGAGCAGTTGGGGGGAGGTCTCTGCTACCACACAATTTTGGAGTCAGAAATTCTCGCTTCCTCTAGAAGCAGCCATCTGGAATCACTATTAGTAAAGCAAAGAGATCCAATTACAAGCATCTATTTGTAGGGGAAACTCCTGTCAGGTTTTAAAGGAAACTCATCTATGGGGCCAAGGCCTGGCCCCATTACCTATGGGAAATAAACTCAGGCACAAAGATAGGCTCTCTATCAGAGAAAAAATGAAAAGGAAGGAGAAATGGAAACAAACTAGACCTTGCAATTTTTTTCATTATTCAAATCATTTTAAAATAAAATAAGATTTTATTTTAAACTTCTTTTATAACTTCTGTTTTTAAAGATTACAGAATACGGTTTTCTTCCACAGCAGAGAGGGAGCAGTCAAGCTCAAGTTACAAGCGAGGAAAAAGATGAAAGTTTAGAAAGGCTTAGAACTTTGCTGACTTAACAGGCAGAAGGCCGGGGAAAGGCTGAAAGACAGGAAATAATGATTACTATTTATGCTCTATTTCATAGTTTCCACTTTGGTTAAACTAACTGGAAGGAAACAAGTGATTAGGTTACTTGTGTCATCACTTACATCAGTAGGTTTTTTTTTTGTTATTGTTTGTTTTTGTTTTTTTGTTTTTCCAGCATCAAGATTTAATTAAGGGAGCATTTCATTGTAGTGAATATACTGATGATTGTAAATGTGACTCCTCATTACAGCCTTAAAAGTTCTGAAACACCAAAGCACAAAGATGTCAATTATATATCCAAACTACAGGTACAAAACAAGTACATGTATTTTCCATGCTCCAAAATTGAGTACACACTGTACTGTCATAGGGAAGGGGTTTACCAATGAAGACCTGACAATGAAGTACTCAAGACTGATATACCAAAATAAAATATAACGTAGGAGTTTATTAAAACAAGTTTGACAATAGCAGAGAGGACCCTTTTCATTTCTGAGCAAAAATGCATTTCGTTATACATACTCTCTCCTAAAATGAATAAACTGGTCACTTGAGAATGCTCTGTTTATTTCCTCTATTACACTACAACATTCTCCATGTCTTTCGAAAAAAAAATATTGTGCAGGAACTGTGGGATAAGCATGCATGTGGATGGAACAGAACAATTGCACTGTTTCTTACAACTCACTTCTAGATAAGGAGGAAGTGTTATTCATTAGTATGGCCCAGTCTTAGCCAATATTCAGTTTGGAAAGACACTGGGTTAAGATCAGAACGATCTGAAAATTCCAAGTTCTAGAATTGATGATTTTATATGCCATTGTATTAGTCAGGCTTCTTTTTTTTTTTTTTTTCGTAATTTTTATTGGAGTATAGCTCATCTACAATGTTGTGTTAGTTTCTACTGTACAGCAAAGTGAATTGGCCACACGTACACATATATCCACTCTTCTTTACATTCCCCTCCCATACGGGTCATTCTAGAGTATTGAGAAGAGCTCCCTGAGCTACACGGCAGGTCCCTACTAGCTATCTACCCTTACATATAGTAGTATGTATATGTTAATCCCAATCTCCCACCCCTCCACCGCACAACCACAAGTTTGCCCTCCACATCTGTGGCTCTACCTCTGCTCTGCAAACAAGTTCTAGTCAAACTTCTTCAGTCATTAATTACAACTCAATTCAAATCGGCTGGAACATATACACACTACTATACATAAAATAGATAACTAACAAGGACCTACAGTGTAGCATAGGGAACTATACTCAATATTTTGTAATAACCTATATATATATACATATATATATATATCACTTTGCTGTACACCTGAAACCAACACAACATTGTAAATCAACTACACTTCAATTAAAAAACTCAAAAAATCCCTAAAAAAATAGGTCAAAGAACAGCTTTTATTAAGAATTAATAATGATATAATATATAATAATCAAGAACTAATAAGGTATTGAGAAAAAGGATTATTACTGACTGATACACATAACTGAAAAGCCCAAGCATGGCTAGATTCCAAGACTCAGATGATGTTAACAGGATTCTGCCTCCCTCCACCCCTCGGTTTGGCTCCCTTCTCACTGGGATTCACTTTCACGCAGACTCTCCAAACATGTGGTAATAAAAGTGGCATTCAGCAGCTCTAAGTTTAAATCCTACCAGCAGTACTGTGAGACAAATAGCTTCTCTTTCTAAAGGGTTCCAGTACATTGACTAATTGGCCTGATCCGGTTCATGCACCAACCTCAGTACCAGTCTCTCTGGGCAGGGAAAGTGTGATACATCAAACCTGGGCAGGGTCACCTTCCACAGTAACCACACTGCCGATTTATAAAGGATTCATTTCCCCCAAGAAAATTTCAGATACTGTTGCAAGTTGAATAGGGTAGATTCTGGGCAGAAAAAATAGCAGATATTCATTACTATTATCTTAAGACCGTAACCACTTAACCATATTTCTCAGATAAAGGGGTTTACTGAAATAGCTATGTGTGTGGTGGTGAAGTAGTTTTAGTTTTGAAAAAGACATTAACCTTTCTTATTCAAGGAGAATGAGAGTAATTGCCCAATCTTATTCTCATGTCTCAGGCTAAACGTTTTTGTTACAAAGATAGGGAAATATTGAAATCTGCATTGGTGTATACCGTAGTTCGATCACAGAGGTGGTTGTAAATTTAGCGTTAGAGATCAGAGGTTACAGACCACAGTAAACAAAATATCATCCCTGGAACTCTATCTTCATGCCAGGTTTTATTCATCTCTGTTCTCCTGCATGAATTTTAACAGTATCAATGAAGAATATCTTTCATACAGAATTTTCCTTTTTTTTTTTTGCCTGTATGAATTTAACTCTATTTATCCCTTTAAAAAGTGCCCTGATCAGGTTCCTTTTTAAAAACAATAAAACAAAAAAAGAGGTGAGCACCTACCATGTGCTAACCATTGGACTGGAGGTCATACACATGAACTCACATTCATATGAAGTAGAGGCATTACCTGGTTATGCAGATGAAGAAACTATTTTCCCTTCCCCTGAATTCCTCCACCATTTAGAGTTGGCAGCAAAAAAGTTGGCACTTACCTGTGACATCTGCATTGTTTAATCATTGTTTCCAATAGATTTATCTTAACCCCAAACGGGGTTTTCAAGTCTTTTGAGGACGGAGACATTGTAGAATATTGAGTAGATGCTTAATAAATGCTTCTAGATGGTTACATCTTAGGTTTATCACCTAATGCAATGTGACTTCGGTCTAATCTTAAGATCAAGGAAGTTTGATTTTCAGTGAACAGGAAATAAAACAGGCATACATGCTAATATAAAACCTCATTGTCGGCTGTATGACTTCAGTGTAAAATATAATCTCTCTGCTTACCTGTCCAATGTTATTAGACCAATGAAAAGGAAAGGTCGTGGTATAGAAAAGAAAGAAATTCTGTGTCATAGTCATAACTGTAAAGAAGAAAGATCTACAATCACTCTAAAGATACCAGTGTAAGGTATAAACCAGTGTCTCTCAAACCATTTGTAGTGAAAGGCTAGTCTCACCCCATCCCCCTGCCAATCTATTCTGGATTAATAATTTTGTAAAATACATAAAAAATGAATTAGCAAAAAAATGAATTACTAAAAAAGAGAAATACAAAATATATCCCATTTTTTAACTCTCAGATTCAGTAGACAAAAATTACCATGCCAAATTGCCATGAATGTTTACTCTAAATGCCTAAATGACTGTCAGTGATTAATCATACATAGTTTGCGAACCAACCACAGTCTGCAGACCCACACCTGGAGAAGGACTGGTATAAATCTTAATCCTATCTAAAGATCAAGTTGCTTACTAAATACAAGCAATTTAAAAAATCCCCAAACAACAAAGAAACAAGAACTACATTATTTTTAGTTGGGGAACTTTCCTGCTGGCCAGAGAAATAGACCTTGGGTAGCATGCCAGTGCAAAGACTTGAACAGCTGATTCTCTCTGCTCTTCCTTTTGTTTTTTTCTTCATTTTCGTTTTGTGCAATATAAGTAATCCTCTTTTTTCCTTACATTCCACTTTCTCAATGATATTCAAGACTTCTGAACATAAATATCACAGAGAATTTTTTCTTATTTCCCTATTTCTGATATTCTTCATAAGCAATCTCTAAATAGCATCTGTTTCAATTCTTTTAAGTGTTATAAGACAGTAGGTAAATCCTATTTTATATTCAGCACTTCATAATGCTTTCAAGAGTTAGTTCAACAGGCTTTTCTGACTACCAGTAACAGTGATTTCCTTAGCATGACAACCATCACTTTCTTTGAAGTTAATGTTAAACTTAATTTTTAAAATGATATAAACATGTGTGAATTCAACAAAGAGTAAGGGAGATTGAAATGAGTTTTAGTAAGAAATATTCAAATTTATTCAGAAATCATTTTTCCAATATATATGCATATCTATAATCGATCAAATGGCAACTTAAATCTTAACATTGCCATCTGGTGGGAATGTCAGTGCAATAATTATACATACATATGAGAGGTAATACATGATGAATTAACAGTAGCTAACATCATAAAGAAGAATATATTTTACATAATTGTTTTTAACTATATAATTCTTAGTTTGGTTGACTCATTTTCTTTCAAATAAATCTGAACTAAAGGAGAAAAAAAGTAAGAAAATTTTACTCAGTTATTTCTAGGTATTGAAGACACATTTATATATATATTCACTAAACCTTGGTTTCATTCTTTTGAGATTGATATAGAATTTTTCTTCATGCATTATTTAAGAGGGACTAAGTTCAGATAGGTTACCTTACTTTCTTAGGTGCTATAGGAAGATGTGAACAGTTCAGAAAAATAGCCAAGAGTTGTCCTTGTATGTGTTTCCACTAGTTTATTACTACTCATATATATTAAAAGTTAAGAATTTATTATTATGGAGACTCTAATATCCCCTGTCAAGGGTTAGCTGCCTAAGTAGAATGTAGAACACGTAATTTATAACAATAAGCAATTAGAATTGTAAAGGTAGTTGTTTTACTAGTTTTAGATAAGAAAAATCACACCTTTGAATTTTCTTGGATTTGAAAACATGCAATATTTCAATAGCCATAAAGCAAACCAAATGTATTGAAATAAACACATCATATAATGAAGGTGCTGTATCAGGACAGATTTAAGAGATCACTGAAGATAGTCAAAGATTTGTACATGGAACAAAGAAACTGGGGATATGGCAAATTTAACAACACTAATAATATTTCTGAGTTCATGTCCTTAGAATACAATTGTGAGCATTCAATTCTTTATCCCCCTGAGTATTAACCCTTATGTAAGTCTTGTTATACAGTGATCGAAGACTGCATGGCATTTAGTTAGAAAGTCAGCAAGTAGGAACCAGATCTCTAAAAAAAAAGTGAGTACCTTCTGTTGGGTAGGAAGGCAAGAAGAATTGCTCTTTGTTTTCTTCTCATGCTTTGAGCGTGAGCAGGAGCAAGGCCTTTCAGTGACTTAGAAATGTCAACTGGTCAATAGGGGATGAATAGAAACAAAAACATAAAAGCAAATTATAGTAACATGGATTTCGGATAAGTCTCTGGCGAGAAATTTAAACATATTGCAATATGTTGGGACTTTCCAATTTGCTAATATTTTCCCTAGTTTAATCATTTTCTTCTACAGCACCACATCAGTAAGAATTTCAGTGTTGATTAATGAAGGGAACCAAAATATATAATTCAGGGGTGAGTACAACTGACATTTACCTTCCCATGAAAGATACGATGAGAACTCTCTTGTGGTGATACAGAGTCATCTTTGTGCTCTTTATATGAAGATTAAGATTATATCAGAGGGTGGAAATTAGGTATTTTCCTTTCTACTAACATTCTTTGTAGTCTTTTACTGAAAGATTTTTGGGGAAAAGAGGCGACTGCTACTGGTACAGATCTTCCATTTTGAAGACCATCTTGTCACCACTTTGGAACACAACAGCCGTTTTAGTTGAACTTTTAAGGATATTTCTAACTTTGATTCTAGAAATAAAAGCTATAAATTAGTTTTACTTTTAAAATAAACAAGCAAGCAAGCAAACACAAATACAAATCACAATCCAAATACCTTATTCAATCTCCAAGAATGACTCGTGTTACAATATCTAGTTGTTGAAGGTAAATATTTGATTCTTGTATATCAAATATTTTGAAAAATAAACTACTTTCACAAAGGAAAAACAACATAGACATAATTGTTTTGCTTTGAGTTTAGTGTGCTATTTATAATGACAAATTTACAATTTTCTACATGATATATGACACTCTGAGTAGTATCATTTCAATATATATTTTAAAGCTGTGTGGAGGAAAGAAAATGAACAGTATTGCATATCTTTGCCTATCAAAATTGAGACTGGAGGGTAGGTGGATATGGTCTATAAAGTCGTATGTGGATTTTTGACCGAGTGGGGTTGTCGCCCCTAGCCCCTGCATTGTTCAAGGGTCAATTGTACTGTTTCTCTAATTAAAATTCTCTTTGTTTTGAGTTGGTATTTGGGATACATATACATTCTCACTTTATTTATACCTCACACACTCAAGGTTAATGCCTGATTTCTGTCTTTCATCCCTGCATTTATTCTGGAGGGTAGAACATTAAACTGAAGTGGAAGAAATATTTCATATTCTCTTCAGCAAAATGGAACTGCCCAAATATAGAAAAGATCTATTAAACACTGCTTTATATGTCTTTTAAGAATTAGAAGTGGTAGTTATAAATCCAATTATCTTTTCCCAGGTGAAGAAGAAAACTTAAGAAAGAACCAAACCCAGGGGTAGAAAAGGAGATGAAGAAATAGAACTGAATTACAATTTCCTTGTTACCCTGTCCAGGAGAGAGCCTTCTAGAACTCACAGAAATATCTCTCTTTGTTGAGATACCAAAGGGATTTTTTTTTTTCAATTTATAGGCCAATCAACTTTAAGTATACCTAATAGCACCTTGTAAAATCTAAGCAGTTTAAACAGCAGGCCCTGTTCTGATGTGATTGGTTTTCTGAGTCATTACTTCTTTAAAAGGATGAATTGATCTTTCTATCTTGACTCTGGTAGAAATCTGAGGGGTTTTTTGGTCAAATAACAAGTACTCTGCCTATTAAACTATTTTCTTTGATTTTTGAGGACAGAGTGGATTTTCCTTCTGTCTTTTAGACAGAAGTTTGACAAATAAATTGAAATATTTTTTCAAGAATGACTCATACCAAAACCTTTAAGGGTATCCATTAAATTTTATTGTACTAGTAGTCCTGCCATAAAATGAATTTGAATTTGATTCTTCTCTACCTTCATGTTAATACACAGTATTAAGCCTGAGGCACTCAGAAAAATAATTTACAAGTGAGAGGCCATCATACTTCTTGACCAATTTTTAACCTTAAATTTTACTTGTTTTTAGTGGATTTTATCTTTTTAATCAATGATTGGACAGATGGGGAAGTGTCTCTGTGTAAGAAGCATGTAATGCTTGGGACTCAAACAGAAATTATAGCAATAGTTTGTTTTATGTTTCTCTCACATTACCAAAGTAATGATCCTAATAAAGAGAGTTTCTTAGTAATATGTGGTATTGCTCTCAAACTATTTCTATGTACAAAATATTTAGTTTCTGATTTACTTCTTATCCATTTAAGGGAGGAATTTCACAGAGCAAATAACAAAATAATATTTATTAAACTCTAAACAAAATCAGGAATTTAGTTGGGGAAGGTGTTAAGGAGGGTTAATGAGAAGATAAAAATGGTTTTAAATTTAATACATACTCAGATCAGCAATGCTATTCATTAATGCTATTCTAAAATCTGCAAAAGATTAATCTATAGATTTCCCAATTATTGCATAATAAAAGCTGAGAAAACATGCCATTGCTATGGCTAATATGCCTGCTCTTTTGTTTTATGCTTATTTTTAGCAACTGTCATGGGGATGAGTGAAAATAGTGATTGCACTTTTTTCATTGCACTTAAACTTGTTGGCGACATAGTAACTTTAAGGTGAGTTCTAGCTAGATATATGTGCATGCACCAACATATTCTTTTTTAAAAAATCTCCTTTGCTTTGTCAT